CTCTTTATTCTCCTTGATCTTTTTACATTCTGCAGGATCTACATACTGTATGTTATAACACTAGACTAAAAGTGATGGCCTTTCTGTGGAGTGGTGGTGCAGAGGTTAGAGAAAGCAAGCCTGAGGTCAAGAAGTTGCTGGGTTGAATTAATTAATTCGAACTTTATTTATACAGGTTAGTCTCATCGAGTCACGAGGACTCATTTTCAAGAGAGCCCTGTTTTAAACAAAAAATACAGATGAGGTTAACACAACAATAACTAGTCATAAAAAAACATATAAATGAAAAGTAAATAAAAGCACGGTACTGATATAAAATTAAATAAAAACAAGCTAAATTATAAAATATGAATCAGCTGATTGTTACATAAAAATGTGGGTGAGAAAAGTGAACCATACATACCTGCCTTCACACACCTTTTCCCCACTCTGGGCCCTTGAGAAATTCCCTTATATTTTTGTTGTGTTCACAGGGGAGCGACGTTCCTTTGTCAAAGCTCCCTCTGTGCTGAAATCTGAGCCAAAGGTGCTTGTGATCGATCAGCTGGTGGAAGTTTTATCACAACCGGGATGGTTTCAGTAGGAGACACTGACAAATGAACTACAAGCCATCAAAATTATTTTCTACATACTAATGCTTTGTACTGTTGTAGCCAGTACAACTTTGGCTTCTTGAGTACCTTTATCTGCCACATATTGTAGTGTTTTTCTCAGAGTTTGGTGCTTTAATGCCAAAACAGATCTCACAGGAAGTGGTAAAAGCACTAAAAAAAGGGATAGTAAGAAAGAAGAAATGTATCATGTAAGCACAGTAGAGAAACTGGAGAATCAGTCTTAGGAAAGTGATTGAGCTGCTGCTTAGAAGATTTAATTAGATCACAGTTCATACTGTGAGATTTCTCCTGGTATGCACTGGGGTTTGGCAGGATTTCAGGAAGGAGAATGAGGTGTTTTTTCAAGTATCACTTCTAGGTAAATTTTTGTTTAGCGTGTTTGCTCAGGATGGGAGACTGCAACGAAGCCAAGATTCAACATGTATGCTGGCTTCCTTAGATATAGAACTTTACTAATTGGCTTTTTTATGTATGTGAATGTTCCTGTAAAGTGCCTGAGACAACTTTGTTGTAATTTGGCATTATATAAATAAACTTAATTGAAATTGAATTGAATTGAGTGGCAAGAAAGCGAGCAGGTGGATGGCAGTTAACTGGGTTGTTTCTTAAGTACCCATGGCATAATCAGCTGTAAGTGATAACAACTGATTGAGATGTTGGAGATTTTGACACAACCTAGGGAAACACTCAGCTCATCCTGCAGAGAGAAGTTTTTGAAAGAAAGGATATGCTGCATTGCAAAAAACCAGATCCTGACAGATTGATGCCCCTAATGCACCACAGAAGCTTCTCTAAATTGGAGAGGTGAACTGCATGGGGTCCTCAATGGGAGACTTTTGTCAGGTGGGATAACGTGGAGGTGGAAGACATGATGAATAACAAGATGAGCAGTCTCAAAAGCTGAAGGCAGTTTGGGGAGTGGAACAAAATGCACAGCTTAAAAAAAACTTTCAATAATGGTAAATATAGTTGTATTATCTACAGATGGAGGCAAACTTGGGACAAAATATGGGGAGTTCAGGGACCATGGCTGACTTGGACCAGGTGGAGACTGAAGTACCTTTGAGGGTGATTGGGTGTGGCTCTTGTTCTGGGCACAACTTGTACAGAGTCAGACATTCTTCTTGATATCAAGTTTGGTGTTCCATGAACCTTGGCAATAGGACTCAGGGGTGTCAGACTCAATTGCACAGGGGGCCAAAACTCAAAGCACACATTAGGTCGCAGGCCAAGCAGAATAACATTTATTATTATTACCAGCTATATTGGTGCTAAGATGGTCTCTTTGTCACGCCCCCTCCTGCATTACCGGCCCTCTTCTTTGTTGACAATCGTGTCAAACTGGTTGAAAACAACAAAGTCCATGCTCAATAATTCAGGTATACAATCCAACATTTTTCAGTCAGGTCATCTGGACAGTTTCTTTTTTGTGCTGAAACGTTTCACCTTCGATCCGGAAGGCTTCATCAGTCGAGGAAACACACAACAAAACTGATTCTTCCCCCAACAGCTTACTCCAAAGTTTCAGCACAAAAAAAAGAAACTGTTCAGATGACCTGACTGAAAAACTGAAAGACTAACAGTGCGGAGCCACACGAGCTAGAGCCCCCAATACACCCCACACCCACAGCCCCCCCACAGCCCAGACCCCCAGCCAAGCACCAGACTGTGGCCACAGCCAGGCAAGAAGACACCCAGGCTGAATCCACCTGTCCCATCCCATGGCCCATCCTCCCCCCACCAATAGTATCAACCCCCCCACCCCCCTCCACGGTAGAAGCCCCAAAGCCCACCAGGGCACCAAGGACCCCCAGGCCAGGGCTGGGCGCCGGTGCATGCACCGGCCCAAGACCCAGACAACATACCCGCCAAGACCCGAGACCCCCGGGCCAAGCCGGGACCCCAGCGACATTCCCCAGAACCCCGAGCCCATGCCCATCCCAAACCCACCCAGGAGCAGCCAGGCCACCAGGCCAGTAACTTGTGTCCACCGGTACAAACTGCCCAGAAGCCTGAAAAAGTCCTGAGCTCAACGCAGAGCAGAGAAGCCCTCAGCTCAGTGCAGAGCCAGCTGAAGTGGCCCAAGACACCATCCAGACTGGGGACAACCAGTTTGTTAGACCCAAACGTCGGGGTTCCAAGAATCGTAATAGGTCAGCTGCGAATGGTTGGAACAACCAAAGACGTCAACCACAAAGGGATTTACGCTCTGGTGGTCATTGTGATGAAGGAATTGATCCAAATGACCTCCAGCGTTATCGTGGATACCCCGGGGCATATGCCAACGCACAGGAAAATGATCCTGTGATTATTCCTCACGTTGACAAAGTGGCTCTGTTTCATGAAAACATGGCTCTGAAGTATGACCTCTATCAGGCACAGGACAAGATTGAAAAGTTAAGGACCCAACGAGCTCCTGGCAAGAAATCATTTGAACACCAGCAAATTGCTTACAAACTGCACGAGGAACTCGAAAAAGTTTGCATTTTGAAAAAGACTGCAGACGATTACATCGTTCAGCTTGAACCAAAAAATTCTGAACTCCAAGAGAAGTTGGAAAAAACTGAGAAGGAGCTGATTGTATCTCGAGAGAGAGAGAAGGTAACTCTGAATTCAGTTTGGAGGCTACGAAGACACTAATTGTTAGCCTGAATGAGGATTTGGCTGAACTTAAAGCTAAAAAAACATAAGGCTAGCACTATCGCTGAATCACTGCTGAAAAACTTTCAATTTCAGCTTAGTGACGCAATGGCAACCATCGACCAGCTAAAATCTGAGCTTCACAGAGTTCATATTGAAAAGGACGATTGTATGAAAGAGGTCTTTGACCTTAAAGACATCGTACAATCAAGCCTTCAGGTCAAGTCTGAATTGGAACGAGCAAAATGCGACCTGAAAAATCTGGAAGACAAGGAGTTTGACCAAAGAGTCAAACTGGATCAGTCACAAATTATCCATCCATCCATTATCTTTACCCGCTTATTCCATTTTTTGGGTCACGGGGGTCGCTGGTGCCCATGTCCAGCAATCACTGTGCGAGGGGCGGGGTACACCCTGGACAGGTCGCAAGTCCATCACAGGGCCACAGAGACAAACGAGACAAACAACCATTCACTCTCCCACTCACACCTAGGGACAATTTAGAGTTACCAATCAGCCTAACATGCATGTTTTTGGTCTGTGGGAGGAAACCGGAGTACCCGGAGAAAACCCATGCATGCACGGAGAGAACATGCAAACTCCACCCAGAAGGCCCCTGGACCGGGGTTTGAACCAAGGACCTGCTCACTGAGAGGCAGCAGCTCTACCAGTTGTGCCACTGTGCTGCCCAGTCACAAATTATGATTGATCAATTAAAACAAGAGCTAGAACCTGCAACCAAAGAACTGCAGCACAGAGACAGCGTCCCTCCCAAACAGGACGCTCTGTCTCAGACATGCCCAGAAGACGACCCAGTAGAAAACTCTGTCAGTGAGGTTCCAGAGGTTCATCACGAAGACCAACTGGAACTCTACACTGATCAGGGTCTTCTGATTAGTGAGTCTTCTGCCGAAGCTGTGGAAGCAGATTTGCAAACCCCACCGAAAAGTCTGATCTAGAGTCCATCGTTCAGAACGACCAACTTGGAAACATGGACGACCTACTTCTGCTCCTTGAGGCAAAAATGAATGCACTACAAAAGAAGAAGTCAAAAAACAAGAAAAAGAACTGGTTCATTCGGCTTTTTACCTGTTCAGCTCATAGGCCCGAGGACGACTGACTCAGGGGAGAGAAAACAACGACCATCGAAAACAGACCTTTTGAACCACGTTTATCGTTGTAGTGTTTCACATCATTCCAAAGATTAACACTTTAAAATATTTGACAGTTTACACTGACATCTGGTTCAGATTCTGGTTCCATCAGGTGTTTTCAGTTTTCTCCCCAACAGAAGTGGCTTTTATATATATATATATATATGGGGCGGCTGTGAATGCAAGAGTTGGGGGTTTGAATCCATCAGCAGTCACATGCCGAAGTGTCCCTGGGCAAGACATGGAACCCCATGTTGCCTCCGATGTGTGTCCCATCAATGTATGAATGTGATAAATCAACTGATTCGTTTCTTTAGAATGATTTGTTCCATTAGCTTTGTAGAGATCTAGTAGAGTGCTGTATGAATGGGTAAATGAGGACACAGATTGTAGTGTAAAGCGCTTTGAGTATCCTGAAATAAGATAGAAAGGCACCACTATAAGTACAGTCCATTTACCATATATATACACACACACATATTGTATATATTATATATACAGTATATATGGTTCTCTGTGTGTGTTGTTCAGTGGTGTTCCAGCACATCCAATGCCTTCTGCAGCAGTTCTTAACCATTGCTGATTGTTGTTTTCAGTAGCCGGCTGCTTTCCCCAGTTTCCTGTCGTCAGACTCTGCATAGATGCAGCCACATGTTTTCTCCACAGCATTAACCACATTGTAGAATTTGGTCAAATTTTGCCCCCGACCAATAAGAAACTGACTTGTAACCTGTTGAAAAATTCAAGAGAAAAATCTGAGACAGTGGGTATGAGACAAACAAACAAACAAACAAACAAACAACAACAACAAAAAAAGTCCTAAATGTTTTACCTTATCCCACTTTGGTTCAAACTTCACTACATCTTCAGAGTCAACAAAAATAATTGGAACACCAATCGCCTCTTTAAGGCTTTTTTTAAACCAAAGGTGGTTGATGAGCGCCTGCAACAAAAAGGTAATATTTGTATGTGTCAGATGAAAAGTGATGATTAGAGAATTGATTGTGTAAAGACAGTGCTGGTTATGACTACAGTGTGACTGTCACAGAAACATACTGAGGCTATCGCACTTGTGATATAATCCCCACCAGATGCTCCAATCATGAGCAAATTTGACTCAGACTTCAGCAGAGCGGGGGCCATGGAAGTTGGAGGTCGCTCCCCTGCGAACCGAACAGAAACCATGATTGGAGGCCATGTGTCAAATAAAAAAGTTGATCCACTATTGAATTTTTTCTCTTTGATTATGAATTTTTTAAAAATCAACCAAGTCAAATATCAAGGAGCGTTTGCTTCAGTTGTATAGATCGTTGCTGCAGATGATCAGGAAACGTTTCACTGTGGTTTGAAGGAACAGTGTGCTCTGAGGCTGTTCACACCTGTAGTCATCAGAGCACATAAAACCTGTTTAAACTACAGGTCCCAGCAGTCCCTTCTGGGACTCAGTGGTTTTCACACAATGTTGTTTTTATTTTTTTTATTTTTTGTTCAATTGTTTGATCAAGCAGTAAAGAGCTTTGGATTTATTAGGTGTTTAACTGCCTTGTATCTAGTTTATAAACTTCTGTTGCATTGTCTTGGTTAAAGGATTTTGAAAACTTGGTCACAAATGCAAGATAGAACAGTTTATTAATGCAACTAACTGCTTCTTATAACTTTGTTCAAATTGAGCTCTTTGCATTATTTTTTTGAATGAAAAATAGTCTATATAAACTATCACAGTAATGCCATCATTACATTTTAATATTTAAAAAAATGTTGCATTTTATATTGTGTGTCTCATTAAATCTCTAACTGTCAAGTGGGGTCAGCAGAGAATCCACTGAGGAAGATTTATATAATTTTTATCAGGTATTTATTGAAAGTGTTTAAAGATTTATTTTATTTGTTGTCTCAGTGGTCTATTAGGGATTAAAGCTTTGATAGCATTGTGAAGGTTTGCTCCAAAACAACTGGGCTTCAGGAAAGGGAACTTCAGTAATTGTGGGTGAAGCTGGTGCTTCGCAAAGGTAGGAAAATAGTGTTCCAATGAGATCACATCCATCCATCCATCCATCCATCCATCCATCCATCCATCCATCCATCCATCCATCCATCCATCCATCCATCCATCCATCCATCCATCCATCCATCCATCCATCATCTTCGGAGCTTGTTCTGAAGTCAGGTCACGGGGGCAGCAGCTTTAGCAGGGAGGCCCAGACATCTGGTGGCCACAGTCACCTCTTCCAGCTTTTCTGGGAGGACTCCAAGGTGTTCTCAGACCAACGGAGAGACAGTCTCTCCAGCATGTCCTGAGTCTTCCTCGGGGTCTCCTCCCAGTCAGACATGCCCGAAGCACCTCCCTAGGGAGGCGCCATGGGAGCATCCTTACCAGATGCCTGAATCACCTCAACTGGCTCCTGTCGATGTGGAGGAGCAGCGGTTCTTCTCCGAGTCTCTCCCGGATAACTGAACTTCTCACTCTGTCTCTAAGGGAGAGTCCAGCTGCCCTGAAGAGGAAACTCATTTCATCCACCTGTATCAGTGATCTCATTCTTTCAGTCACTACCAGAGTTTGTGTTGTCTGCCAGTTGTCTGCCTTTACCTGTCATTGTCCCCACATTTAGAGTTGCCACTCTCAGTCCTATATTCTGGACTTTCCTCTTCTCCCTCTGTCTACTGGCCCATTTCCCTCCTTGTGATTTTTGACAACAGAATGTTCAATAATACATGCTCATTCTGTACAAGTATTATTTACTTTATTTTTGCTAAACAAAAATGTATATTCAGAAGTTTTTTTGTTATTACCAGGAAAAACATTCTCGACTCTTTCACAGAAGTCACCTATCTGGTTGTTGAGGATGACTCCAGTCCGCGGAGAGTATATTTGAGAACCAAACCTGTTAAAACAAAAAAAGGAAAACTAGATAAATTAAATCTAAACACTGCATCACCAAATATTTAAATGCGTTTCGCCCATTTTTCAAACAAAATTCATCTTCCTTGTTTTTCTGTTTTAAAAAGTCACTTTTGACTGCAGTTTTCAAAACTCTTCCCCACAATACTTGTTTTTTTTAATTTACTTGAAAAAAAAACTAGCAATCTTTAAAGAAATGCATATTGCATGCTGCTTTGTATGCTCAAGTTCTAAATAAAGATATTTGGGGAATGTTGCTGTTTTAAAAGGTTGAGTCGTTGTGGCAGCCATCTTGAATCAAATTAATCAGATGTAGATCTAATGGTTTTTCCAGAGTTTTATTGAAACCTGACACTTGAAATATTTTGCTAACAGACATGCAAATAAAAACACACGCACATACAGGTAATTACACAATTTCCTGTCTTTCATGGGAGCAATACACATACACTGGCTAATTTCTAACCATAGAAGAGTTCATATACTCACGGAAAGTTGATGCTGCTGGTGACAGCTACAGCAGATCCATCTTCAGCCAGCACAGACACATGTGAGGTACTACCAAAGACGGGGGACTTGTTGAGACTGTCATCACTGCTTGAAGTCTGGGATTTGGTCAGATTCAGGGGGATGTCATATTCCCTAGGATCAAGTGTCATGTTGGTCTTGATCTTGGCCCGAATCATGTCAGAGAAGCTGACCGCTGTTAATATCTTTTCAATCTGTGAATGGGAGAGATTTAAAAACAGATAAAACTCTTGAAGTCCCGATTTTTAAAGAATTTACAGCCAGCTTCATATTTAATTTCCTGAATAATCAAACATTCACTACAGGAAACAGAGAATCATTAATTGGAGGATGGATGAGCAGAATTTAGTCTCATTTCAAAATTATGACTTATTTTTTTCATTTAAAAACCTAGCAGTTTTTAATAGATGCATATCGACTGCCACCTTTTACACCAGAGTTTTAAAATAAGATCATCTTATGTTGACAAATGACAAAATTATACTTAGGTTAAATCTGGAAAATAACATGATGTGTGATCTCCTACAATCTGTTAGCACTCAGAGTATGTTGTCAGTGACACTCAGCTACTACCACACTTAATTTTAATTCAAGTTCAGGTTTATTGTCATTCACATCACATGTGGTACATGAGGTGGAACGAAATGGTCTACTCAAGGTCCCATCCAAAAATAGGGATTCACTGTAAGTTTTGTCCTATCCATTTTTGCATTTAGTTGCTAAATAAACACGTTGATTAATACGTGTAAATCTCCTTACACCTTTTCTTTGAAGCACTGTGTAATACTCACTTTTACAGGTACAACATTTGGATCCCGGATGTGTTTTTTTAGTCTATTGGCAAATTTTAAAGCTTCAGCATAAAGATGAAAAAACTGTGCCTTCTCATCAGCAGTCCGAGGTTCTGACTTAATCTGATACTCTACAAACAAAACAACATAAGAAGTTATTTGTTTAATCACATTTTTAAAGTTTGGTCAAGTGTTTTTCTTAGAATTAGATGAAAATGCACAGACGCACACACACACACACACACACACACACACACACACACACACACACAC